GCAACGTGCACGGTAATTTTCCTCGGCGACTTCAACGACCGTGGGCCGCGCACCAAGGACGTCATCGAGTGGCTCGTCGGTCTGCCGGAGCGCTACCCTCAGCAGAAGCACGTCTTCCTGGCCGGCAACCACGACTTCTCCTTCGCGTCGTTCATCGGCGCGCTGCCTCGCTTCGAGCCGCCTTCGGGGTTCAAGTTCTCGGAGACGTGGCGAGGCGCGGAGAAGGACGAGGAGCGCGAGGGATGGTGGAAGGGCGACGACATGGAGAACGTGCACCTGCAGGTACGACGCGCATCATCAAATACTTTTATATGCCTTCACATGTCCGTGGTGTTCTGTTAGCACGTGCGGGACCATCGCCATACCAACCTCGACTCTCTATCTGCCCTGCGCTCACGCTTCGTTCTAATCTCTCGTTCTCCCCTCCACGTGACCTCGCGAGTGCAGGGTCGCAGGTGGGCGGGGAAGATCAAGGACCTCATCAGCAAGAAGGGGAAGCCCTACGACGGCTCCACGTACGACGCGGGCGCCACCTTCCGCTCCTACGGCGCGGAATTCGGTAACCGCGAAGCGCTCATCGCTGCTGTGCCGGAGTCGCACAAGGAGTTTCTACGCAACCTTTCCTGGATCTACGAGGCGGTAAGCGGCTCACTCTTACTACAACATCACAAGAACATAACGCGAGGCATCATCACTGACAGATTGTTCTCTTTTTGTCCAACATCTAACGCCCGCTGACGTACTCTCTTTTCTCCTCGCCTCCATGTCTTTCTCAACCCGTCCGTGTTATGGCAGCCCGGCGTGGACACGGGCGATGCGGCGACGAGCTACAGCAGGCTGATCGCGGTGCACGCGGGGTTCGACAAGGACCGGCCGCTGGGCGAGCAAATCGAGGAGCTCCGGCGGCGACAGCCCGTGGCTAGCAGATACGAGGCGCTCAGCGGACGCAAGAACGTGTGGGACAATCCCGAGGTGAGAACGGGCGGAGAACGCGGTGATGGGTGTCAGGGACGAGGGCTGGAACCTTCTTAATCTGGTCGCCGAGAGCTGATAGGAATCCGTGCTTCCACAGAGAACTCTGGAAGCACAGAGTTTTTGAGTTCTGGACCTGGTCGAATTCAGCATGGCTGGTTTGGTGACAACGCGAACTTAAACTGTCAATTTTGTCTAACCGATCGTACCCCTTCCTGTATGGTGCAGGAGTTGGAAAAAGATAACGTGCTGGTGGTGAGTGGGCACCATGGCGTGCTCGACACATCACGGCGCCTGCGACTGATCATCGACGAGGCGGGTGGGCTGGACGCTCCCATTGCTGCCATGCTGCTGCCATCCCGGGAGATCATCAGAGACACTGACCCGCTGCCCAGCTCTGAAGATGTCGTGGCTCAAATGACTGAGGTAGCAGAGGCAGCAGCTATGACACAGGAGGAGTCTGCACGTGAACTGGAGCCTGTAGCTGCATAGACCAAGAAAGGTGGTGGGGGCTGTTGAGTGGTATTTGTTGAAACCGTCTGTGAAAAAGGAGGCTGTAAAACTAAATATTGTAAGCCTTATACCGGTACCATAAATGATATGTGTGCAGGACACGGTGTTACTGTCAGAGTTATATCATTGTAACTGCATGTAGATATAGCAGTAGTGTAGTTATCACATTCTGTTTGGTGGATTACCCCCTTTCCTATCATATTTGTACCCTTAGCTCTATAGTGAAGTCCTCTTTCATTTCCAACTCTCTCACACTCTACCCCCAACATGGCTCCTAAGGCTAAACCCTAGTAACATATCTTGACATGGTACAGAGCAGGAATTTCTCCTGAGGACCTAATTTTTTTTTAATGATCATGGGCCCACCCGTCGTGCCGCCCGTAATGCGCCCCGCGGGTCCCCCGAATCGCCCCGTGGACGAACCTGTCAAATGTTGTAGCCTGTAGTGAGGTTTGTCTTAGGGGGTACAGAAGTTAGGGTTTGTCATATGTACCCCAACCAACATCAATGCAACATCCATTCCTCATTCTGACATGGTATCAGCTAGGTTAGGATCCTGTGGGATCCCGTTCCTCCGTTCTCCGTTCGTACCTCCCGAGCCTGATCCTACCTCTCGTTCGTACCAGTTTAGTTGTTACCGCGCCTAGTACCGAGCCTAGCATCATCTCCCCCGTCGCGTCGCGCCCGTTCCCCCCGTCGCGTCGCGCCCGTTCCCCCCGTCGCGTCGCGCCCGTTCCCCCCGTCGCGTCGCGCCTGTTCCCCCCGTCGCGTCGCGCCCGCCTGTTCCCCCCCTGTCCCGTCGCGTCGCCCTGCCCTGTCCCGTCGCCCTGTCCCGTCGCGTTGCCCTGTCCCGTACCGTCGCCCTGTCCCGTCGCGTCGCCCTGTCCCGTCCCGTCGCGTCGCCCTGTCCCGTCGCGTCGCCCTGTCCCGTCCCGTCCCGTCGCGTCGCCCTGTCCCGTCCCGTCCCGTCCCGTCGCCCTGTCCCGTCGCGTCGCCCTATCCCGTCGCGTCGCCCTGCCCTGTCCCGTCGCCCTGCTCCGTCGCGCCGCCCTGCCCCGTCGCGTCGCCCTGTCCCGTCGCGTCGCCCTGCCCCGTCGCGTCGCTCCCGCCCTTTCCCCCGTCGAGTCGCCCTCCCTAGGCCCTAGCCCGTCGCCCTCCCTAGGCCCTGGCCCGTCGCCCTCCCTAGGCTCTGGCCCGTCGCCCTACCCTAGGCCCTGGCCCGTTGCCCTACCCTACGTTTTGGCCCGTCGCCCTAGCCCGCTCTTCCGCTGCGACTGAGTCCTCTTCCCCCCCGGTTGTTACTCGCCTGTTCGTTCGCATTGGTTCTCACTATGGCGACTCCGCGAGTTCTTCGTTTCGACGCTGACGGTAGACCCCTTGACTTTTCCGTCTGGCTTCTTCGCGCTCGTCGTCTGTTAGAGAGTCAGGTCCAGGGGGGCGAGACCCTCTGGTCACACGCTACTGGTGACCTCCCCGAGCCCCCCGAGCCTACAGCTTTAGGCCCTGCTCCTGACGACGCTGCTACGGCTCGCTTTGCCCGTCAGCGCGCTGACCGGACGGCTTGGACGTCGCGTGACGCTGCGGCCTGCATCGCACTCAGCAGCCTCCTCCCTGAGTCCGAGGAGGTCCACTTTACTCAGGTTCGCACCGCTGCTGCGTACCTCACTGCGATTAAGGCCCGCTACTCTACTCCCGCTACTGTCTCTCTCGGCCGTCTTTTCCTCCCGTTCCTGTTTCCTGATCTTGCCTCGTTTGAGCGCTCTGCTGACTTGATCGCTCACCTCCGCTCGCTCGACGCTAGTTACCGCGCTGCTTGCACTGAGGCACAGCTTGCACTGCTTCCTCCCCCCATGGCGATTACTGTCTATTTCATCGCCACTAGCCTCCCTGACCGCCTTGCCTCCGTTCGTGACGCGCTTCTGCTGAAGCACCCTAGTGAGCTGACTATCGAGGTCCTTGAGTCTGCACTCAAGGACGTCGAGAGCAACCTTCGTTCGGTAGCTGCCGCCTCTGGTACTGTGTCCCCCCCACTCTTCCACGGGTGCACAGTCCCGCAGTTACCCACCTTCACTGCCTCTCTTGCCACTGCCGCTACTGACGCGACTGCGGCTGCTGTTACGACTGCGTCGCGGTCCCGCGGCAGGGGGGGCAAGAAAGGTGGTTCCGGTGGAGGTGGAGGCGGAGGTAGCGGAGGTAGTGGGGGTGCTGTTGCGACTGGCGGTGGTGGGAGTGCAGAGTCTGGAGAGACCCCTCGTGCAGCGGCTGGTGACTCCACTGCACCTGCTGGTGGCGGCGACCCTCGAGCTCGTTAGTCGCCTCCTGTACTGCCGGCCCCGCTAGGTGGAGCAGCGGCGTGGTACCAGGCTCAGCGTCAGCAGCACCTTCAGCAGCAGCAGCAGCAGCCCCTTTCCTCCCAGCAGCCTCAGCAGCAGCAGCGTCAGCAGCTGGCTCCGAGGTCGGGGCTGCGTCAGCCCCAGCGCGGTGCTGCTTACTCTCCCTGCCCCTACCAGGTTCAGACAGGTCCTCGTCGGGGCCACCCTTGTGGCCGCTTTCACCCCCCTGGTCAGTGCTTTGCTCAGCTCACTGACACGGTCCGGTTGACCTACGGGGTTGGCGGTCCTGCTCCTGACTGGCTTCCTCTGGTTCAGCGCTACGGCTCCGCTCTGTGGGGCATGTCTGCTGAGCAGTTAGTTGATCTGATTAGTGCTCCTCATGCTATGTATGCTGTTGTTGACTCTAGTGTTTCTGACTCTGTTTACTCTGGTGTTGTTAGCTTAGGTGCTAGTCTTGCTCAGTTGCCTGTTGCTAGTGTAGGTACTTGTGTAGACTCTAGACCAGCGACTACCTCAGAGGACGCTTCGCTGTCGTTCACACTGGACTCTGGAGCCTCCCACTGCTTCTTTTGGGACAGCACGACACTTACACCACTTCCTGCGCCTGTTTCTGTAGCGTTGGCTGATCCCACTACGGGACCAGTCACTGCACGTCACACTACCACTTTACCGTGTCCTGCTGCTCCCTCCGGGTCTCTCACTGGGTTTCACGTCCCCTCGTTCTCCCGGAACTTGGTGGGCGTGCGACCCCTCGTGAGTCAGCACGTGGGTGTGTGGTTTGAGCCTTCTGGAGAGACTGCGGTGTGTGTTGACGGAGACTCTTACCAGCCTCTTGCTACCTTTACTGCTGAGCCGGGCTCGGGTCTCTACACTCTTCACACTGGCCCGCGTGCGCCGCAGCAGCAGCCGCAGCAGCAGCAGCAGCCGCAGCCGCAGCAGCAGCAGCAGCAGCAGCACCAGCGGCCGCACCAGCAGCCCCCCCTACTGCCACTGCCCCCGGTTCCCCCCCCCGTTCGGGTCCCCGCGTCTCACCAGGTTGCTTCGTCCCCCCAGGTGTCTGTGTCGTGTCAGGTTCCTACGTCTGTTCCAGTCGCTGCGTCGTGCTCCTGCCGGTCGCTTGCCCACCCCACCGTTCTGTGGCACCACCGGATGGGGCACCCGTCCCTTCCACGTCTGCGCGCTATGTCTAGTCAGCGTCTTGTCCTAGGCCTCCCACGTGTCTTGCCGTCGCTGCCGCCTTCGCCTGCGCCGCCGTGTCGTCCCTGCGTCGAGGGTAGGCTGCGCGCCACCCCTCACTCCTCCTCCCTTCGTCCGGCCACCGAGCCTTTTGAGACGCTTCACTTGGACGTCTGGGGCCCAGCCCCTCGTCTAGGCCCTGAGCGTGAGCGTTACTTTCTGGTGGTCGTTGACGACTTCTCCCGCTACACCACAGTGTTCCCTCTGGCGAAGAAGTCTGAGGTGACTTCTACGCTGATCAGGTGGTTGCTCACCACTGAGGACACTCGTGGTCGTCGTGTCAGCTGTCTCCACTCCGACCGTGGGGGTGAGTTTCGCTCCGGCATTCTCGCTGGATTCTGTCGCGAGCAGGGCATTCGTCAGTCCTGGACGCTTCCAGAGTCCCCACAGCAGAATGGGGTTGCTGAGCGCCGCATAGGCCTGGTCATGGAGATCGCCCGCACCTCCCTGACTCACGCCTGTGCCCCCCATTTTCTGTGGCCCTACGCGGTCAGGTACGCCGCGCACCAGCTGAACCTCTGGCCACGTGTCTCTCGACCAGAGGTTTCACCGACCAGTCTTTGGACAGGGTCCCCTGGTGTTGCGTCGCGGTTTCGTGTCTGGGGGTGCTTGGCTCTTGTCCGCGACACCTCCGCGGACAAGCTCTCGCCTCGTGCCGTCCCCTGTGTCTTCCTTGGTTTCCCTGAGGACTCCTCTGACTTCACCTTTTACCACCCTCCCTCTCACCGGTTCTTTGACTCCCGTGACGTCCGTTTCGAGGAGTCCACTCCGTACTACGTCAGGTACCCCAGTCGAGGTCTCCCGGTTCCTCCTCCCCCCCTCTTCCTGACTGCCGTTCCCCCTCCTGCTCCCCCGGTACAGCCTCCCCGGACATTCCGACTCTTGTCGTCCGGGAGCTGGTGCTGGCCGCGCGGACACTGGGGGTGCTACGTCTAGGGGTGAGGGTGCGCCTCCTTCGGGTTCAGGTGAGCCTGGTTCTGGAGCTGGTGTTAGTGCTGCCTCAGGGGGTGGTGCGCCTAGTTCTTCTGAGGTGGACTCTGGAGCTGCCGCTGCTTCAGACACTACTCCACCCCCCCACCCCTACCCGACTAGGCACCAGGCTCGTGTTCGCCGTGCCCGTGACGAGCAGCTGGCGTTGGAGAGAGAGGAGAGGGAGTTACAGCGGCTGGAGGAGCAGCAGCAGCAGCTGGAGCCGCAGGAGCAGCAGCAGCAGCAGCAGCTGGACCCGCAGGAGCAGCAGTCCCAGCAGCAGCCGCGTCCGCAGCAGCAGCAGTCGCAGCAGCAGCAGCAGCAGCCACTTCCTCCTCCTGTCTCGGGTCTTCGGGCCCTTGGTCTCCCCTCCCCTTCTCCTCCCTCCTCCGCCTCTCCTCCTGTCTACGGTCCCACGTTTCCTCCGCCTGACTCCTCCCCCGCTGTTTTCTCTAGTTCTCTGCCTTTGTCCTCTCCTCCTCCGTCTCGTTCTTGGGCTACTCGTCGCTCCCCTCGTGCTCGTCCCTCGTTTCCTGTTCCCTTCACTGACCTTCGTACTGCCTTACTTTGTTCCAGTCCACCTCGTCCGTCTCAGTCTGTGCTTCCGTCTCCTCCTGAGTCGGCCCTCACTGTGTCGCTCCCTACTCCTGTCACTGACTACTACCGCACGTACCGTCCTGTTCTCTCTCGTGTTCTCGCCTCTCTTGTTACTCACCCTCGTGCCTCTGTGTCCTCTGTGTCCGCTCTTACTGCCGCAGTTACTGACTTTGCCTCTACCCGCCGCCTTGACTACGCCACCACGCTTGTGGCTGCTCCTCCTACCAGTCCTCTGGCCGTCGGGGGTGTGTCTGCCCTTGGCTGTGACGCCCTAGAGGACAGGCAGTTTGAGCTAGAGTTCCTGGCGGCCGCTTCCCCTCATCTCTGTGCCATGCTCCTCGCCCCTGAGGGTGACCCCGACGCCCTTGACATTCCGACTCCTCGCACTTACGCTGAGGCAGTGTCAGGGCCTTGGGCCTCTCAGTGGAGAGCTGCCATGGACGCAGAGATGGCCTCCTACAGATCCACAGGCACCTACGTCGATGAGGTTCCCCCCCCTGGGGCGAACGTAGTCGACGGCATGTGGATCTACAGGGTGAAGCGGCCACCGGGATCTCCCCCGGTCTTCAAGGCGCGCTACGTGGCTAGAGGTTTCAGTCAGCGCGAGGGAGTTGACTTCTTTCAGACCTTCGCACCTACCCCGAAGATGACCACTCTTCGGGTGTTACTACACATAGCAGCACAGAGAGACTACGAGTTACACTCTCTCGACTTCTCCACTGCTTTCCTTCAGGGCAGCCTACACGAGGAGGTCTGGTTGCGTCGTCCCTCGGCCTTCACTGGCACCTTCCCTCCTCGGACCCAGTGGAGGCTGAGGCGACCTGTTTACGGTCTTCGCCAGGCCCCTCGTGAGTGGCACGACACTCTACGTTCTACCCTCTCTGACCTTGGGTTCCAGCCGTCTTCTGCCGACCCGTCGCTGTTCGTTCGTCGTGGCTCCACACCGTTCTTTGTTCTGGTCTACGTCGACGACCTCGTTTTCGCCACTTCGGACAGGGTTGCTTTGGCAGACGTGAAGTCCGAACTGCAGAAGAGACACACGTGCACTGATCTTGGTGAGCTGCGCCACTACCTTGGCCTGCAGATCACCAGGGACAGAGCCGCTCGCACCATTACACTCTCACAGTCACACATGGTGCACCAGGTCCTTCAACGGTTCGGGCTTCAGCACTCCACCGTACAGCGCACACCTCTAGCTGTTGACCACAGACTCACTGGTCCCTTTCCTGACGAGTTGTTTGAGCCTAGTGGTCCCTACGCAGAGCTTGTGGGTTGCCTCATGTACCTGATGACTTGTACTCGCCCGGACCTCGCCTTCCCTCTCAGCATCCTTGCGCGCTTTGTTGCGCCAGGGAGACACCGTCCTGTTCACTGGACGGCAGCTGTGAGGGTGGCGAAGTACCTAGCGACTACATCAGGCGTGGGGCTAGTTCTTGGAGGGCAGCAGTCTGTCGTACTCACTGGTCACTGTGACTCCTCTTACGCTGACGACGCTGAGACTCACAGGTCTACTCAGGGGTACTGTTTTAGTCTGGGTTCTGGAGCTGTTTCCTGGCGTTCCACGCGCTCCTCTTCTGTCTCGACCTCTACAGCTGAGGCTGAGATTTACGCTGGTGCCATGGCGGCACAGGAGTTACGGTGGTTGACCTTCTTGCTCACTGACCTATTGATGACATCCATTCCTCATTGATGTTGGTTGGGGTACAAATGACAAACCCTAACTTCTGTACCCCCTAAGACAAACCTCACTACAGGCTACAACATTTGACACACCCCCATAGCCTAAGTGAGGGGTGTCTAGCAAAAACAAAAAAGAGTACGGTCACAAGACCAGTCCAAAAGAAAACAAAGCTCAGGGTGGATCACAACGTCACCACACACTCTGAGCACAAGCAACAGTGGCCACAAGGCCAGTCCAAGAGATCACAAGTATATATAGTAAGTGTACAGACGAAGCAGGCAATAAACCCTGGTCCCAGGAGGGAAAGAGCTAGTGGAGGCCGAGGGACGACGCAACCCGACCTCCTCGTGTAGAATGCCCTGAAGGAAAGCAGTGGAGAAGTCAAGAGAGTGTAACTCGTAGTCTCTCTGTGCTGCTACGTGTAGTAACACCCGAAGAGTGGTCATCTTCGGGGTAGGTGCGAAGGTCTGAAAGAAGTCAACTCCCTCGCGCTGACTGAAACCTCTAGCCACGTAGCGCGCCTTGAAGACCGGGGGAGATCCCGGTGGCCGCTTCACCCTGTAGATCCACATGCCGTCGACTACGTTCGCCCCAGGGGGGGGAACCTCATCGACGTAGGTGCCTGTGGATCTGTAGGAAGCCATCTCTGCGTCCATGGCAGCTCTCCACTGAGAGGCCCAAGGCCCTGACACTGCCTCAGCGTAAGTGCGAGGAGTCGGAATGTCAAGGGCGTCGGGGTCACCCTCAGGGGCGAGGAGCATGGCACAGAGATGAGGGGAAGCGGCCGCCAGGAACTCTAGCTCAAACTGCCTGTCCTCTAGGGCGTCACAGCCAAGGGCAGACACACCCCCGACGGCCAGAGGACTGGTAGGAGGAGCAGCCACAAGCGTGGTGGCGTAGTCAAGGCGGCGGGTAGAGGCAAAGTCAGTAACTGCGGCAGTAAGAGCGGACACAGAGGACACAGAGGCACGAGGGTGAGTAACAAGAGAGGCGAGAACACGAGAGAGAACAGGACGGTACGTGCGGTAGTAGTCAGTGACAGGAGTAGGGAGCGACACAGAGAGGGCCGACTCAGGAGGAGACGGAAGCACAGACTGAGACGGACGAGGTGGACTAGAAAGAAGGAAGGCAGTACGAAGGTCAGTGAAGGGAACAGGAGACGAGGGACGAGCACGAGGGGAGCGACGAGTAGCCCAAGAACGAGACGGAGGAGGAGAGGACAAAGGCGGAGAACTGGGGAAAACAGCGGGGGAGGAGTCAGGAGGAGGAAACGTGGGACCGTAGACAGGAGGAGAGGCGGAGGAGGGAGGAGAAGGGGAGGGGAGACCAAGGATCCGAAGACCCGAGACAGGAGGAGGAAGTGGCTGCTGCTGCTGCGGCTGCGACTGCTGCTGCTGCGGACGCGGCTGCTGCTGGGACTGCTGCTCCTGCGAGTCCAGCTGCTGCTGCTGCTGCTGCTGCTCCTGCGGCTCCAGCTGCTGCTGCTGCTCCTCCAGCCGCTGTAACTCCCTCTCCTCTCTCTCCAACGCCAGCTGCTCGTCACGGGCACGGCGAACACGAGCCTGGTGCCTAGTCGGGTAGGGGTGGGGGGGTGGAGTAGTGTCCGAAGCAGCGGCAGCTCCAGAGTCCACCCCAGAAGAACTAGGCGCACCACCCCCAGAGGCAGCACTAACACCAGCTCCAGACCCAGGCTCACCTGAACCCGAAGAAGGCGCACCCTCACCCCCAGACGCAGCACCCCCAGTGTCCGCGCGGCCAGCACCAGCTCCCGGACGACAAGAGTCCTCTGCACCCACCGGGTCAGCTCCAACTCCAGCTCCAACTCCAGCACCCCCAGAACCAGAAACTCCAGTGCCAACTCCAGCTCCAACTCCAGCTCCAACTCCAGCACCCCCAGAACCAGAAACCGGTACAGGAACAGGCGCCGCACCAACCTCTCGAGAGCTAGCACCAGCGGCACGCTGCGAGGAGGACTGTGGGGAGGGAGGCTGTACCGGAGGGGCAACTGAAGGAGGAGGGGTAGCCTGGGACACACCTGACGGGGCTGGACCAGGGGGGGGAGGCTGTACCGGGGGAGCAGGAGTGGGAACGGCAGTCAGGAAGAGGGGGGGAGGAGGAACCGGGAGACCTCGACTGGGGTACCTGACGTAGTACGGAGTGGACTCCTCGAAACGGACGTCACGGGAGTCAAAGAACCGGTGAGAGGGAGGGTGGTAAAAGGTGAAGTCAGAGGAGTCCTCAGGGAAACCAAGGAAGACACAGGGGACGGCACGAGGCGAGAGCTTGTCCGCGGAGGTGTCGCGGACAAGAGCCAAGCACCCCCAGACACGAAACCGCGACGCAACACCAGGGGACCCTGTCCAAAGACTGGTCGGTGAAACCTCTGGTCGAGAGACACGTGGCCAGAGGTTCAGCTGGTGCGCGGCGTACCTGACCGCGTAGGGCCACAGAAAATGGGGGGCACAGGTGTGAGTCAGGGAGGTGTGGGCGATCTCCATGACCAGGCCTATGCGGCGCTCAGCAACCCCATTCTGCTGTGGGGACTCTGGAAGCGTCCAGGACTGACGAATGCCCTGCTCGCGACAGAATCCAGCGAGAATGCCGGAGCGAAACTCACCCCCACGGTCGGAGTGGAGACAGCTGACACGACGACCACGAGTGTCCTCAGTGGTGAGCAACCACCTGATCAGCGTAGAAGTCACCTCAGACTTCTTCGCCAGAG